CCGCAGTGGTTGCTAGTCATGCAACAATTTCTCCCAGGTACCATCATAGATCTTGAAACATTTCCTGTATATTCAAATGAAGGAACACAAATTGGTGGTGCAAGAATTTTCCATCGCCTTTTTTGGGCCTTTCAACCTTGTATTAGGAGTTTCACACATTGCAAACCTATAGTACAGTTAGATGGTACATGGCTATATGGAAAATATAGGGGAACATTTCTCCTGGCCGTTGCACAAGATGGGAATGGAAACATTTTCCCAATCGCATATGCATTGGTCTAAGGTGAGACCGGGGGGCTTGGAGTTTCTTTCTGAAAAATTTGAGACTCCACGTCACACCCCAGTCAGACTTATGTTTGATATCTGATTGACATGAGTCCGTTAAGAGTGCCTACAATAACTCGCACAATGGTTGGCGTAACCCACCTTCGGTGCATGTGTATTGCATTAGGCACATCGCACAAAACTTCATGCGAGCCATCAAGGAAAAAAACCTTCGCAAGATAGTTGTTAACATGTAATTTATTCTATATTTTTTAACATGACATTTAAATATATAGTTCTTTTATATTAATGTTTTTAATGCTTATACGCAGGGTATGCACTTAATGAGTCTACATACGCATACTATCGGGAGGAGATCCGCCAAACAAATACATTGGCTTTCAATTGGATAGAGAACCTTTCAAGAGAAAAATGGTCGCGAGCTTACAAAGGAGGAGCACGATGGGGTCACATGAAAACCAACCTTGCTGAATTTTTGAACTCAGTGTTGAAGGAAACCAACAACCTACCTATTACATCACTTGTAAGATCAACATACTACAAGATGAGAATATTGTGGGGAAAGCGAGGAAAGGATTGGACAAAAAATTTGTCATCAGTAAAGGAATTCACAGATAACTGCATGAAAGGAATTGTAGAATAAGTAGAAAAATCTCACAATTATAATGTCCTGGCTTTTGACCGTGAAAGTCACTATTTTGTGGTCCAAGAGACGGTTAATAATAGGAATTGTCGGCCACTTACTCATTTCAACGTCAACCTCCAAACATGAATTTGTGACTGTGGGAAATTTCAAACTTTTATCTGCCTTGCTCACATGCTATTGCGGCTTGTTCTCACATTAACCACGACTATACTAAGTTTATTCCTCGTGTGTATTGAGTTATAGACGTCTTCAAAGTTTACCTACAAAGTTTCATCGGTGTTTCCCAAGAAGATAGCTGGCCTCCATATTTGGATGATACTCTTTTGTATGATGAAAGGATGCGACGAAACAAAAAAGGTCGCCCGAACAATACTCGCATTAGAACTGAAATAAACACTGTTGAGAAAATAAAAAGACGATACAAAATCTGTCAACAACCATACATATACAAAAAATATTGACATCGCCTCAACAATGCAGGCTCTTCTAATTAATTTTATCCATGTATTATTATTTATAAATATTTTTAATTATATTTTTTTACTTAGTAATTTGATTGTAATTATTAAATTTTATTATTTAATAATAATATTTTTTATTTAATTGTAATTGTTAATTTATAATTATTTAAGTTTTTAAATTAATATTTTATTAATTAGTTATATAATTAAATACTTGATTAAATTATTTATAATTAATTAATAAAATTAAATAATAAAAATAATTATTATAAATAACGAGAGGATACATGCTGTAGAAAAAGTTCCACCATGACGTCATTTTAAATAGTTTGAACTCTTATTTGCGTGACATTTTAAGATTTTATTTTTAAGCGGTGGTATTGTGGAATTTTCATTTTAAAAATGTGGTATATATTGGAAAAAAAATTTAGTTAGAGAATGGATCGCGGAAGAACCGTTCATCCCTCTGTCGCTGCTGGAATCAGAAGACGAAGAGAATATCCAGAAAGTTGAAAGAAATATAGAGCATTTAATGCAGCACACCAACAAATCTGAGGCAATGATTAGAACAGACACAGTAACCAAACAAAACAAGCACGAAGAACAAGAAGCGGCGTAGGTGAAAGGAAAAAGTGGAGTGAGTTCGTCGAAAAAGGATTTCGAAAGCGGTGGGGTAAATGAGGAGAGAGAATATGAGGTTGCTGAAAAAATTGGAGTCGATAGTGCAGAAAGAAACATTAATATCGATCAGGATGGACCAACGATTGTTGGGCTTAATATGCAAACTAAGAAAGAGGAAGCCCAAGTAAATGATAAAGATGAACTTGAGCATAATGGGCTCTATAACAATCAGCCAAAGGGTGCCCTCACATCCAATAATACAAGGTTAGACAATTATAAGTACACCCCAAATATTGAGATTGGGCTGAAGTCAAAGACAACACCGATGGTCATTGGGCCAACACATGCAGGCCCAAGTAAGATCTAATAGGTTTTAGAAGCAGATCAAGGCACCGAATCCTCTGGCCAATCTAATAATCCCATCCAGGACTGTAGTCCCTTGAAAGAGAAAGTCAAGAGGTGAAACAAGAAAATCAACATCGAATCCGAAGGAAGTGACCCAAACTCACATCAACATTGTGAACGTTTATGCTCCTTGTGAAGCTAACATAAAAGTTCGGTTATGGAACGATTTGAGAACTGAAATCCTAGCAAAGAGAGACGAAAAGTGGTGTGTTGTCGGTGACTTCAATGCGGTTAGGGATATATCTGAAAGAAAAGGCAGAAGCGAAATTCTAGAATTAAGGATATGTTTAAGGTGGATTTCGAAAAAGTATACGACACAGTTGAGTGGAACTTCCTAAAGAAGTGATGGCAAAGGTGGGTTTCCATGAGAATGTTTGAAAAATTCAACGATTTTAGTGTCAGTGAAAGCAGCATTATATGCATCAATGTCTGTCCTTGCAATCTCCGAGAAGATGCAAGAATTCTCAATTGTAAGGTCGGTTTCATACCATTCTTATACTTAGGGATACCAATTGGAGCCAATCCTAGATTGTTGAAGACTTGGCAGCCGGTGCTGGAAGTAGTGAGATCAAGATTGTCTAATTGGAAACATAAACATCTTTCAATTGGAGGTAGAGTGGTAGTGTTGAAATCTGTCTTGTCAGTGATTTCTATTTACTTCTTATCCATCTTCAGAGCTCCTTCGGGTATCATCACTAAACTTGAAACTGAGAATTTTCAACTTAACTCTATTAGGCAAATGAGTGTGGAAAAAAAAAAGAGATAACATGTCCAATGGTATCGGAGATGCACATTGTTCGACATGGTGGAAAGACATTAGTAGCTTAGATTTAGGCGAATCTGTTCAGGCAGAGGCATATTCAATTAAGGAGAGCTATAAGTCATTGCGAGCGAATGAGAGGACAGATCCTAATAGATCATGGCAAGTAATTTGACATAAATTTGTTCCCTCAAAGCTGTCTTGCTTAGTGTGGAGGACGTGGCACAATAGATTTCAAACTAGAGACAATCTTATTAGAAGAGGCATAGTTGGTCAAGAGAATGTCGTATACACGAGTATTTTCTTCGAGCGTCCTTTTGCAGGTGTTTGTAATTATGTAATCAGGTGGTTCAGATTGCTAGCGGTTCTCCCTAAAGATTGTCGCGATCACTTCGATCAATTTGGAGCTCTAATTGACAGTGGCAATCATTCAGTTAACAGAGTTAGAATTATATGGTTCGCGTGCATTTGGAGCATCTGAAAAGCCTGAAACAACATTATCTTCAGGAACAAGGCTACAAGCGTGGAGCAATTATTCAAAGAGACACAAAGATTATCTTGGAACTGGTTGAGCAATAAACATAAATCAGTTACTTGCAATTCGTCTCAGTGGTCCTTGAATCCAAGACTCTTCCTTGTATAGGACTTTTAATTGCTCAAGGCTTTTGTTGTCTTAGTTGTTCCCTTCTTGAGTTACTGATCTAGCATTCCTCGTGCTAGTGCTCTTTTAAATATTCTTTTGCTTCTAAAAAAAAACACTTAAAAAGAAACAAGGGAGTAACATAGTACTGCACCTACCAAAACATAGCGTCTCCAAAAAATAACTCCTATTGAATAAAAAAAAGTAAACACTCCGATATCTTTAAATTTAGTTGAATACCGTACTTCAATCAATTTAATACTATGATTTAATGTCACAGCACTTTTTTTATTTTGTTTTACTTTTAAATAAATTAAAATTTTAACATGATATACAATTAATGTATACATTACCCAACTTAGATTCATTGATACAAAGAATTTAAATAATTTCCCCCCAAAAAAGATAGAATTTAAATAAAAAACAAACAAACATAACATAACAATCTTGAAAACTTGTTAGAGCATTTGCAATGAATGGCTGTTTGTTGATTGTTTAATTATAAGTTATGTTGTTTATTTTAATTTTTCATTAGAATTTGCTTAATTGATATTTTAGATTGTTTAAAAATAAGGAAGCCACAAGAACAGTTGCTTATGATTAAAATATTATTATTTATAAAAGAAAAAATATTTTTTTTTATATATAAAAAATTATTTTCTTTTAATATAAATAAAATAATATAAATTGGTGGGATCAATTTTAAATTGTTTATTACCATTAGAGTAAAATTAACAAAAAAATACTTATAAATCTTTTATACTGTATCTGTTTTAAAATGACTGATATTTTAACCAATAAAATTTATATTTCAAAATGATTATTATTTTTTACTTTTCAATATAATAATAATAATTATTATTTTAACTGTAACTTTTATTTTTTTTACTTTAGACACTATTTTTAATATATTAATAAGATTAATTTTATAGTAATGTAATATCACAATATTATTATATTTTTTAATTTACGTAAAAAAACCAAAATAATTTTTAAACAGAGGGAGGGAGTATGCAATATGACACTTTGGATCCAAAATATGCCCAAGCAACCTATAATAATATTTGTTTCATTGGAGATGCTTTTAAGTTTCATCGCCTTTGACGGAGTTTCCCACCGACAACAGCACAACATTTGATATAAACAAAATACAAAACCCCTAAACTCCTAAAAACACAAACAATGGCTTTGAGTTTCACACACCAACCCACGATCAAAACCATTCTCCAAACTCCATCTTCTTCCTCCATCCCCTCTTCGCCTCACTCCCTCCCCTTCCATGAAACCCGAAAATTACGGCAATCACTATCCATCCGTGCCTCGGCACCGGTGGCTGCTCCGTCCGAGGTTTCCGCAAAGGTGTCTAGGGAGTACACTGTCAAGTCAGTGAAGGCGAGACAGATCGTTGATAGTAGAGGGAATCCGACAGTGGAGGTTGATCTGGTGACTGATCAGCTTTACCGATCGGGTGTACCCAGTGGGGCTTCTACCGGAATTTACGAGGCTTTGGAGCTTAGAGATGGAGATAAAAGTGTTTATGGTGGGAAAGGTGTTCTTAATGCTGTCAGGAATATTAATGACATTTTGGCTCCAAAGCTTCTTGGTGTCGATGTTAGGTAAATGTTTTTTTTTAATGTGTTTTATGATCCTGTCTTGAATATTGTGTTAAACAACTGACATCTATGTCTTTGTGATTAACAAGGAATCAAGCCGATGTGGATGCTATTATGCTGGAAATTGATGGAACTCCTAACAAGTCAAAGCTTGGTGCTAATGCAATATTGGGAGTTTCACTGAGTGTGTGTAGAGCTGGCGCTGGAGCCAAAGGAGTGCCGTTGTACAGACATATACAAGAGATTTCAGGAACAAAGGAACTTGTCATGCCTGTACCAGCTTTTAATGTTATTAATGGGGGCAGCCATGCCGGTAATAATCTTGCTATGCAAGAGTTTATGATTCTACCCGTTGGAGCTTCTTCATTTGCTGAGGCGCTTCGTATGGGCAGTGAAGGTTAGAAACTAATGCTTTATTACTGTAATCACATTGAGAATTTTTATTTATATCAATGTTTTAAAAACTGAACTGGAGATCAAACCGATGAGACCTCCGGGTCACGGTTCAATTGGTTCAACATGTTTCATTACTGCATATTATTATAGCATATGTTTGTTGTTGTTTTTTTCAATCCCGCCCCCAACAATCTATTTTAGTGACAATCAGTTTAACTTGGTTATATATGCTAAAACAGTATATCAAGTATTAAAGGGCATAATCAAGGCAAAATATGGACAAGATGCTTGTAACGTTGGTGATGAAGGAGGATTTGCTCCCAATGTTCAGGATAATAGAGAGGGACTTGTTTTACTAATAGATGCCATTGAGAAGGCTGGTTATACCGGAAAGGTAAGACGTGTTTTCATTATTATATATGCTGTTGAAGGGTTTGAATATCCAATTGTACTTATTAGAAAATGAAAAACAATGATGCAGATTAAAATAGGTATGGATGTAGCAGCTTCAGAATTTTACACTAAGGACAAGAAATATGATTTAAACTTCAAGAAACAGCCAAATGATGGAACTCATGTTCACTCTGCTGAGAGTCTTGGTCAACTTTATCAAGACTTCGTGAAAGAGTTTCCCATTGTGTCAATTGAGGATCCTTTTGATCAAGATGATTGGAGTTCATGGGCCTCACTACTCTCTTCAGTTGATATTCAACTTGTAGGAGATGATTTGTTAGTTACAAATCCAAAGAGAATAGCTGAAGCTATTCAAAAGAAGGCTTGCAATGGTTTATTACTAAAGGTTAGCATTACTGAACATATTTTCCGTCTCTTATTATGCTAAATTGCTCATATGTCTGATAATTTTGATTTTCTTCGTTTGGTTTATAGTTGTAGTCTCTATTTGAGTGCAGGTTAACCAGATTGGCACAGTGACTGAATCTATTCAGGCTGCACTTGACTCAAAGGCTGCAGGTTGGGGCGTCATGGTAAGTCATCGGAGTGGTGAGACTGAGGATAACTTCATTGCTGATCTTTCTGTTGGATTGGCCAGTGGACAGGTTCTATTTTCTTACTCTTGTTATTCGGTGAATTTAATCTTGTTATCTAGTATAAGTAGTCTTGTGCAAGATGTTATTGCTTTCATGTTAACTATCCATGTTGTTTCATCCAGATAAAGACTGGTGCTCCATGCAGAAGCGAACGGTTGGCAAAGTATAACCAGGTAACTACAATCGCGTGTTAACTTGTTTACTCTTCAATTCGAGACTAGCCATGTTGACATTGTTCAATTTCTTTTCAGCTTCTTCGGATTGAAGAGGAACTTGGAACTGTGCGTTATGCTGGTGAAGCTTTCAGATCACCCTAGAATGAAAGGCCACTGATGTCATAAGTTATACATTGAAATCACTGAAATCATTAGTTTGTTTAATAATAAACAAATGGAACCGAGGAAAATGCTGAGTTTTGGTATAGCTGCTATTTCGGGTTTTCAAAAGATATACTTTTGATGAGTTAGTTAAGTGTTTTGAATGTGTTTTTAAATAAACGTAATTGAATGAAAGGAGTGTTGTAATGCAAGGAAGTAGTTAAAATGTAACTTAATGCAGAGACAGTTTGGTAGTTCTAAGATGTAATTCCACTTTAAAATAATTGCAAGTGAGAAACTAGGAGCAATTAATGCATTTTGTATCGGTGTAAACTTCTGATTCAATTTCTATCATTTTCCATTGTTATTCAACATTAAATTTCTTTTCAAGGTTTTTCAAATTATTAAGATTGGCTTTCAAATTGATCACTATGATAAGGGCATTGTTTGTTAAAACGACCCTACATTTTCTCAAAACAAAGAGGAGTAAACAAGTAGGAGGAAGTCTTGCATGGGCATAAAAGTTCGGACACAATTTAGGCACACTCATAAAATAAAAAGATAGAAAGTAAAAATAATTGAATAATATATGTTTTTATAATATTTAAATGATATAATACTTTTATGTGAGTGTGAGTCCAAATAATGATTTTGTATTTAGCGAGGGGGTTAGTAACCCAAAAAAATAAAAAAACTCCATAAAATATTGATGAATAGTGCTTTTTTTTTTTAATGCATAGTAAAAAAAAAAGTCTCTCACATGAGAGACCTATCAGCATAATGCATGGTAAGACGGCGTCAAAATGAGTGGTCAATTTGTTAAATAATTTCCACATCTTTTGATAGTTTCAATTTTTTATTTTTTTTTTAAATTTAAAACTAGAAACTTGAAACGAGTTTTTAATATTTGTGTTTATAAGTAATGGCCTATATAAATCAGTTTTGCTTTTTACTTTTTTTTAAGTGTTTTATTAAACTGTTTTAAAAAAATAGTATTTTTAAGAGAACAGATAACAAAGTTGTTTGATGATATAACTTTTTTTAAATTGTTTTAGAAATGAGAAAATTAAAATAAAAAAAAAAGACTTTCAGTTTGGGGTTGGGGATATCGAGTGGTGTTCAGGTTAGTGATGAAGGAATTTTTCTTGGATATTCTATTAAAAATAAATTATTTAGGGTATATAACAAACGTACCAAGACAATCATAAAATCAATAAATATTGTCATTGATGATACATCTGAAGATAAGAAAGAAGATGATGTGTCTCCTTAACAGACTGATATCCCAACAGATGTCCCAAACAAGGGTTTAACATTGAGTCTGAAAGTACAAGTTCTGAAGAAACTCCTATCAACAAGGGACCATCTATCATAATTCAAAAGGACCATTCTATTGAAAATATCATATAAAATCTGAATGAGGGAGTCATCACCAGATCCAAAGATATGATTTTCAACTCTTGCTTCATTTCCAAGATTGAGCTCAATATCAAGAAAGTACTTACTGATGAATTCTGGATTAATGCTATGAAAGAAGAGTTATGTCAATTTAAAAGAAATAATGTAAGAGACTTAGTTCCAAGACTTGAAAAGTGAATGTCATGAAGGTAGAGAAAATACAAGAAAGGGGGGGAGGGGTTGAGTTGTGTTAACAGAAAACACCCCCCTTTTAAAATTCTAAGCGCTCAAATGATAATAGCTATAAAGACAATGAAGAAAAAAGGACACAAGTATTTTATCCAAGTTCGCCGTTAACTAGGTTACTCATGTCCACCCTCACAAGGATGATTTCGCCTTATTCAAGGACTTAATTCATTATAATCAAATTGATTACACTTGCACGGGCAACCGCTGGTGACTAACACACAATGACATGTTTGGTGATCTAACTGGATATAACGTTCATTGACCCAATAGAATCTGATCCCTCAAGATCTCCTACCAGGATTTCCTTTCAATGATATCCATCAGTGGTCTCACAAGATTCTGACCTTCACTTGGTCCCCTTTAAGATATGATTATCATTGACCCAATAAAATCTGATCCTGCAAGATCTCCTATCAGGATTTCCTATAATGACCGCAACCATTATCTTCTTGAGATATGACTTTCACCAAGTCTCCCAAGGAATCAATCAAGAACAGTTGATGGTGGACACAGGCTCATCTTTAAACGTGTTACCTAAAGACGCTTTAGATCGGCTAGACTGTGAAGGTTTGGTTTTGAAGCCAAGTGATATTGTTATGAGGGCATTTGATGGGTCGAAAAGGATGGTTCATGGAGAGGTGGATCTCCCAATTAAGGTTGGTTCACAGATTTTCAACTCCACATTCTACATAATGGACATACGGCCTGCGTATTCTTGCTTTCTTGGGCGCCCATGGATCCATGGGGCAAGTGTGGTCACTTCTACTCTCCACCAGAAGTTAAAATACCCAGTTCAAGGGAAGGTTGTCACTGTTTGCGGTGAAGAAGATTTATGGTAAGCCACCTCACTTCTTTCAAGTACGTAGAAATGGATGGTGAATTCATAGAGACTCCTTGCTAGACATTTGAAGTTGTGGCCACCACCAAAATCTCCTCCGACACTCCAAAAGCCGACAAAGTTATTCCCAAGATGGTTTATCTTAAGGATGCCCGCGATGTGGTAGAAAAAGGAAACAATGAGATATAGGGTCAACTCCTTGACATCCCACTCAAGACAGATAAGTTTGGGATAAGTTTCACCTCCAAAGCTCAGAAAGAAATTAGAGGTGCTCGTACTGGAAAGTCGTCTCTCCACCTCAAGAGTCATGAAGTGAACGTTGTAGAGGATTCCGATGATGAGTGTGCTTTTGAAGACTGGATCTACCCAACAACTGAAGGGAAGCCCAACAATTGGCATGTGAAGGACTTTGTGCCTATCTCCTTCATTGAGGAGTAATCTACTTGTTTTTGCTTTTAATCAATTCAAGAACTCGTTGCCTGTAATATTTTGATATTGACTTTTAAACCATGTGCCTAGCCTGGGGCACTTTGGTTCTTTTGTCAAGGGTTTTATATTTTGTTCATCTAATCATATGATCATTCAGTACATTGGACTCTTTTGCATTCAAATATTTGTGTTCATTGTCTTTCTTTTCTTTCAAATACATTTCCAAAAGATAGCCATGTATCTTACATGAACACACACACACACACACACGCTCTTACAGGTCTACATCCACTCTGGACCCTATTGCCAACAACTCTATTATTGCCAACTATGATTTTGAATGTCCTATCAACCAAGCCGAAGGCGAAAGCGAGGAAGATTGTGACATACCAGGAGAACTAGCCAGACTTCTGTTACAAGAGGAAAAGGCTATTCAACCACATGAAGAGTCAATTGAGGTTATCAACCTGGGTACTGTGTCAAATAAGAGGGAAATCAGGATCGGTGCTAATTTGGAAAGCAGTGTCAAAAGCCGTTTGGTTCAGATGTTGCGCGATTATGTGGAAGTATTTGCTTGGTCGTATGAAGATATGCCTGGGTTGGATACCGACATTGTGGTTCATCGTCTGCCAACTAAAAAAGACTGCCCTCCTGTTAAACAAAAAGTTCGTCGCATGAGACCTGACATGTCTGAAAAGATCAAAGCCGAAGTAATGAAACAGTTTGATGCAGGATTCCTAGCTGTAACATCCTATCCTCAATGGGTGGCTAATATAGTGCCAGTGCCAAAGAAAGACGGGAAAGTTCGCATGTGCGTAGACTATAGGGATCTGAATAGGGCAAGCCCCAAGGATGATTTCCCTCTACCACACATTGACGTCTTAGTCGATAATACCGCTCAGCATAAAGTCTTCTCATTCATGGACGGCTTCTGGGGCTATAATCAAATAAATATGGCTCCCGAATATATGGAAAAAACTACTTTCGTTACACAATGGGGCACTTTCTGCTACAAGGTTATGCCGTTCGGATTAAAGAATGCAGGGGAAACATATCAAAGGGATATGATGGCTTTATTTCATGACATGATTCATCATGAGATATAGGTATATGTGGATGATATGATCGCCAGATCACAAACCAAAGAAGAACATCTCGGTCACCTGCACAAACTATTCGAGAGACTGAAGAAATATAAACTGAGGTTAAACCCTAACAAGTGAACATTTAGAGTACGCTCTGGAAAGCTTCTAGGATTTGTTGTTAGCAATAAAGGCATTGAAGTTGATCCCGCCAAGATAAAGGCCATCCAAGAAATGCCAATCCCTCATTCTGAAAAAGAAATCAGAGGATTCTTGGGTCGTCTCAATTACATTGCCCGTTTCATATCACACTTAACTACTACCTGTGAGCCACTCTTCAAACTCTTGAAGAAAGATCAGGTAGTCAAATGGAACGATGAATGCCAGATTGCCTTTGACAAGATCAAGGAATACCTGCAAGAACCTTCTATTCTCATGCCCCCGGTTGAAGGAAGACCGTTGATCATGTACTTGACGGTACTAGAGAGTTTTATGGGGTGTGTTTTGGGCCAACATGACGAGTCTGGCCGAAAAGAGCATGCAATTTACTACCTAAGCAAAAAGTTTACCGACTGTGAAACCAGATATTCACTGCTCGAGAAAACTTGTTATTCTTTAGAGTGGGATGCTCGCCGGCTAAGGCAGTACATGTTGACTCATACCACTTTGTTGATTTCTAATATGGATCTGATTAAGTACATCTTCGAAAAACCGGCCCTTTCCGGACGAATAGCCAGATGGAAAATGATCTTGATTGAGTACGACATTCAATACACAAATAAAAAAGCCATCAAAGGAAGTGTACTAGCAGATCATTTGGCCCATCAAGCTGTGGATGATTATCAGTCAATGAACTTCGACTTCCCTGACGAGAATATTATGTTGGTAACTGACTGTGCAAAACCTAGACCGTATGACGGACCTGAACAAGGATCCCTATGGACTATGGTATTCGATGGGGCTTCCAACGCCTTAGGTAAAATAATTGGTGTTGTGATCATCTC